GAAAATTATATGAAATTTAAATTTCAGTGTCCACAAGTTAAAAAAAAAAAAGAACAAAATTCCAAGGAACACCAATATTTAAGCAACTGGAGAAAGTCCATGAGGGAGCTGAGGAGATGCTGGAGAAGCTAGGAACACAGGCACATCCTGTCATTTACATGTCGCCTGTGCCTTGTGTTCATGCCGCAGCTGAGGGCTTATAACGGGGAAGCGGCCCACAAAGACTAAAATTTATGATCTGGGCATGCATGGGAAAAAATATGCCCACCCCTGGCTTGGAACTCTAGGCAACTGGGGGTGTCATCAGTTTCCTCTCTCCTTTCCCAAGGGCTGGGCTCTTTCTGCTGCAGGAACTAATGGTTTAGTCCACAAGGGTGGAAAGTTGGGAAATGGTCTTCTGGATTTTCTTTTTTTTTCTGAGTGCAGCACCATGATTTCCAAGCCCTATCCCAACCTTGGCACTCTGCCAGCACCTACCATTATCCTATTATCCTCTCCCACCCACCAAGCATACACATTAATATTTCGGAATCTCCAGGTGGTCATGGTGTGCTTTTTGTATGGGACTGTAATTTTGGCTGTGTTTTTTTTTTTGTTTGTTTGTTTGTCTTTTTTTTTTTTTCTTTCTCTAACGACAGTATGGATTTTGAAAGTCTCAAACACTGATGTATGATAGTCACAGAGATTATTTTCTAAGAGTACTAATTGCCATATTAGATCTTTCTCACTGTCTCTTCCCCCACCCCTTCTGCCTTTCTCCCCTTTTCTTCTCTATCAAACTTGCAGCATATCCACTGACAGTTTCTTCCTCACCTCCCACTTAATTCTCAGCCCACCACAATCTGGAGTCGACTCCCACGGCAACACTGAAACTGCTCTCAATAAATTTGTCAACCAACTCATAGCTACCGAATCTAAGGACACTTTCAGTCCTTCCTTGACTTCTGAGTAGCGTTTAATGATGTTGAGCTTTCCCTTCATGGAATACCTTTGTTTCTCTGAACCAGCATCTTCATTATTCTCTTAAGTTCTCTGGATATTCCTTGTGCTACTGGATTCTTACAAATTAGTGCATTTCAGTGTCCTGGGTTATTACCTAGTGTCAGCACCATGCTCACCCTCTTGTACTGTGTCCTGTTCTACTTAGCCTGGGAGTCTTCAAGGTGCATACTCCATCCTTCCTGACCAGTTAGCTTCTGTTAGTATCAATGGGAGGCACTGCAGGGGGATCAGAAAGCAGATGAAACCGAGATGCTTTTTGCTTTAGCTTCAAATAGAATGATAGTTGCTGGTAGACATAGTGGTCACAAGCATAGGTCATTCTGGGCTCTATCCTCTTGGGCAGAGGAAGTACCTATTCAGTGATCTAGTCTTCACAGAGATGGCACCTTTGCAATGAACCCAGAACTGGCTACTGTAGTGTCTCCCCCCGGTCACTGCAGGTGTAGACCATGTGATGACTTTTACTCCTCCTAGTTTGCACAAAATATGTGAGAAATGAAGGCAGAGCTGGGTTTCAGCTCAGGGAGCAATGGCAGCCCTTCATTTCCAGGTATTTTCCTATTTGTACCTCCCATCATACTCTTTTTTCTCTTTTGCACTTGTTTTTTTTTTTTAAACATCTTTGTAAACAATTTTGTGTATTAATTTCTTTCAATATGAAATACCTAGAGTGTGTTTTATGTTCCTGACTGGGTCCCAGTTGATAATGGGTCAGGCATGGAGTCTGAATTGCAGATTTATGTCTTCTGCACAGTTTGCTGAGGTGATCTTGGCCAGTGCTTTTGCTTTAACATGGGTCCTGATGACTCCAAACTTAAGTTTCATTACATCTGGGATCCAAACTCATATACCTCTCAAACTGCACATATACAAAACTGAACTCTGGCCCTCCCTTGTGGTGCAATGGGTTAAAGCACTTTGAAGCTTTCTGCAGCCACTGTAGCAGGAGTTCGAATCCTGGCCAGGGAGGTGATCTACATGACACAGCAGACCTCTCCTGTCTTGCCTGTTGTTCCCTTCAACAGTGTATTTTAGTCCATCTGCCTGTTATGCTCCACACTCTGTCTCTGGTGTATCCCCTCATCTCCTTACCACTGCACTTCTGGCTGTACTCCAGTTCTTGTATGTATAAATAAATAAATCTCTGAAAAAACAACAACCAGAAAAGAAAACTGAACTCACTTTCTTCTTCCTCAAACCTGTTTCTATGGTGCTCTTTTCTATTTCAACTCACTCCATCACTGACCACCCACTCAGTCACACAATTGAGAAACCTGGGTGTTATCCTTGACCCACTCACATCTATTCAGTAGCCAAGTCTTTATCAGCTTCTGAATTATCTCAATATTCAATCCCCACCATCTTCTCCCTGTTCATGACTTAATTCAGGCTCTTGTCATCTCTTACCTATTACATCGCTATAGGAGCACTCTGTGTGTATTCAACATTTAAGAGTTTGATGTTATATACTGTAGATTTTTGACCAGCAGTTTTGTTTCAGTTCTTTCTAAGCTTGACATGTCAGAAGAATTTTTCTAAAGTGTTAAACTGATCATGTCATCACTATCACCTGCTAGGTAAAATCCAAACCCTCCTTGTGGCATCACGGAACCTATGTGAGCTGCTCTTGTCAAAATTTCTAGCCCATCCTGACACTCTCCTTCCTCTCCCATTAGCAAACAAGGACAGGCCCACCCTAAGCCTCAGGAGCTCTGATTGCTCTGACCTTGACATATTTGCTTACCCTTGGCCAAGAATGCTTTTTTCTTGTGTTTAAATTGTTTTCCCCACAAAACTCTTTTGAACCATTCTTGATTATGCCCCAGCTATTATTCTTCCATTCTCATAAAACTACTACTTCCCAAACACTTGGCACATTCTTTTTTGAATACAATATATTGTTCGCAATTATTCATTCATTGACACCCCTCCCTCATCTAGACTTTAAGCTCTTTGAAGGCAGGACTCTGCCTCAGTTATCTTGTATTTATTTCACTGGGTCCAGTCCCTAACACTTATTAAAATATCCATGTGATTTCTGCAGAACGAATAAAACTAGCTCCTGCAGGAGAATACCTCTCTGAGAAAGGGGGGAGACAGGGAGGGAAAAGGTGGTGTCTGAAGAGCCCTGGGGGTTTGCTGTGGGAAGATGAACTTCTTCACTGAGGTATTCTGCCGCGGGGTGGCGGTGCTCTCAAGAGCCCGTTGGTTGGGTTACAGGTTAAGGCTGACAGCTTCAGACTAACCAGACATCCCCACCAGGAGGCGAACATTCCTCCACTGCCTCCCCAGTCCAGCTACACACCCTACTATGCCTGATAAAAAGAGCCAAGTCTTCTAGAGGTGGCTGAACTCAGGTCTTTCCCTAGCGACTGATGATGTTAAACCTGACCCTTTTGTGATTGGTCGAGCCAAAATGACAAAAGCACCTAAAGGAAGTGAGCGGCAGAACACACGCTGGGGAGGGAGGTTGGGAACCAGGGTCAGTTTGTTGTTAGTAAGTAGGTGGTGGTGTGAAGAGATGGCTCTAGAGCAATCCCTAGGACCTGGGCTGCCACCAGTGCTGCTCCACCTACTGTGGCTGCTACCTCTCTCCTGGACCACCTCTGAAGGTATGGCAGCACCTCCCCTTTACTGCAGTCCCCACCGGCTGCATCTAGGGGGCCAAACCAGAGCATCTGGAGAAAACGCTTGAGCTTTGCAAGTGGTGAAAGTATTATGGAATGAATAGTAGAAACTAGAGCAGAATGGGGGAAGATGGGTAGTGTCAGAGGTGTCTTATGGAGTCCATTTCCCACATCCCTCCAAGCAGAGGTTAATTATATATATTTTACAAATGAAGAAAGTGAGACTTGGAGCACCGCGCAAGTTCACGCAGCTGGAAAGGGGTCGAACTGATATTTGAACAAAGTATATATTTCCACGATTCTCAGGAGATTACATGTCTCACCCTGAGATTCTTGAAACTCTTAATTTTATTAGCCTTTAGTTTCCTTGTCTGTAAAGGACGGTGCAGAGTGGAAGAATAATGTAGATGATCTGTCTTACTCTAACTGCCTGTCTGGATACTGAGTGCTGGATATTTGGTGGATTTCCTATTTGGTTGGTGTGGGGGTGGGGGATTCATGCCAGAAGTTTCTAGGAGTAGGGATTATTTCCTGCAGCTATGGGGTTATTTCTCGCAATCCTGGCATCGCAAGCCCTGGCTCATAGAGGGAGGGCCAATGACTTTCAGATTGGCCTGGGTGCCAGGGCAGAGCTGATGAGAAGCTGGGAGACTGGTTTTCAGTCTGCTATGTGTGTGTGTGTATTTGGGGGTGAGAGGAGGCATTACCCATTCATTCACTCACAGGTCAGTATGATGACCTGTGAATGAGGCAGAGTTCTCTCCCTTGGGAGGATGTATGGCTGGGCACACAGAGCATAAGGTCAACTTCAGTCTCTCACCTCTTTGGCTGGATGCCTGTTTTTGTGCAGTGCACGCTCCCTCCCCTAACTTTGTGATACTGAATCTGTCATTTTGGACTGTTCCCCTCTTCTACTTTACAGCATTAGACAGTTGGCCTTTTTATGGGCAGGGAAGCTTAGAGAGGCCCCATTGTAATTTTGGGCTTCATCCTCATTGGGAGGGAGAGCCTAAATAACAGACACACAAGCAGACTATGACAGCTCCTTCTCCCTGAAGCAGGCTTTGATGTTTTCTTTTTTTTAAAAGATTTTATTTATTTGTGCATTCAGAACTGGGGTACAAGCCAGAGGTGCAGGAGTGGTGAGAGGATTCACTTGAGACAGAGTGGGGAGCAGAACAGGAAGCTGGATAGAGAACCCTGCTGAGGGGAGTAGTGGGGAGACAGGAGAGGTCTGCTGTGCCATGGGGGTTAGCTCCCTGGCTGGGGCTTGAACTTGCGCAGAAGCTGCCATGGCTAGCTCTGCAGTGCTGCACTTCAACCCATTGCCCCACTGTGATGTTTTCTAACCCTGCCCTGTCTCCTTTGCAGCTCTCACTCCAGTGCGGCAGGATGAACTGCAAAACCACACATTCATGCACACGATCTTCTGTCAGACAGCAACTCCCAACATAGGGCTCTCCGAGACCTATGATGGGGACCATCTCTTCTCCTTCGACTTCTCCGAGAGTACACGAGTGCCTCGCCTACCTGAATTTGCTGCCTGGGCTCAGAAGTCTGATGACATTTCCACCATTTTATTTGACAAAACATTCTGCTTGATGTTGGCAGAGCAAGTGGGCCCAAAATTGGAAGGAAAAATCCCAGTGTCTAGAGGTCAGGGGGCTTTCTGGGGTCAGAGGGAGGGGTACGTTCTTAACCTCATTAAACTCTACACTGATTTATTCCCTCCACACCAGCTGCCGGTCTCTGATAGTTTCTGATTCTGCCCTGGCACCTTTATTTTCCTACCACTCATTTTTTTTTTTTTTTTGCTTCTTTGTTTTGTGGGGCAGAAAACAAGTGCCTTCAAAAAGTATTTGAAGGCATTCAGAACTATTTATGGAAAATGATAACTCAACAACAGCCAAACGATGTCTAATGATTGTTAGCACTGTGCTACACTACTCAGGAATATGCAAGGGGGGACAGAAATATCTGATGACAAACAGATAAGTAAAAACCAGAGACATTCTACAGGGGAGGGGGACAGAGAGGGATCAGAAGAAGGGAGGAAGGGGGCGTTTGGCTATGGCGATGACGGGAGGGGGAGAAGTAAACATGGCTATAAAATGAACAATAATGTAAGTAGGTATATGGAAAAAATAAATTTTAAAAAAGAAAATGCAAGTGAACTAGAATAACCAAAAGGTAAAAAAAAAAAGAGAGAGAGAAATATCTGATGACATGCTTGTGCTTTGACAAGACACATGTGATTTGAGTCATGGTGAGGTCTAGACAGGAAGTGCTGCAGGCAGTCAGGGCAGATGGGTCCAGAGCGGCTGGATGGGGCTCTGCCCCTGGCTCCAGCTGTGGGTCTTCCCTGGAATAAGACCTGCCTCGGAGCCCTAATTCCTCCTTCATCTCTTCTCACCCAGCCTGTTCCCATTGACTCTGTCTCTGGCTTCCTTCAAACACAGGGGTACCAGCTTAACGAGGGGTTTCTTTCCCTGGGCCTCCTCTCACCCCTCTACCCCCTCTCCTCCAGGGATCCCTATTGCTGAGGTATTCACGCTGAAGCCCCTGGAGCTTGGCAAGCCCAATACATTGGTCTGTTACATCAGTAATCTCTTCCCACCCACGTTGACGGTGAACTGGCAGCATAATTCGGTCCCTGTGGAGGGAACGGGGCCTTTTATCTCAGCTGTTGACGGACTCAGCTTCCAGGCCTTTTCTTACTTAAACTTCACACCAGCAGCCTATGACCTCTACTCCTGCAGCGTGACTCATGAGATTGACAGCTACACAGCAATTGCCTATTGGGGTGAGACCCTTCTCCCTGGAAACCTGGTTCTTGCGGGAAGGGGGGGTGAGGGGGAGGTAAAAAGAAATAGACCCAAGGGAGGGCTTTTTCTCTTAACTTGGACCTCATGTAGTTCATTCTCACTTGGAGACAACCTCAAGTTTCCATGCTTTAGTTTCTTCTTTGTCATCCCAGACACCCACATCATTCCCTTGGGTGGGTGGTTGCCTAGCCCAGTCTCCAGGCTGACTGGCTTTTCTTTTCTTTTCCAGTCCCCAGAAATGCATTGCCCTCAGATCTCCTGGAAAATGTGCTGTGTGGGGTGGCCTTTGCCTTGGGTGTGCTTGGCATCATAGTTGGCTTAATCCTCATCATCTACTTCCAAAGGCCTTGTGCTGGTGGTACGTCAGGGACCTGGAGGTTGGGCAAGCTCTGGGAGCCAGATCCAGTGGTCCAGGCCAGATACATGGTGGGCACAGCAGGACTCTCCTGTGGCAGGGACAAGATATCAGGATCCTTAGGCTTTGGTTGGGGAGGCTTGTGTTGGGCATCATGGGGTCACACATGCACATAGTTAGAGGTCACAAGAATAACTTTGAGGGGGAATGGAGAGACTTGGGGGTCTAGGATAGGAAGGGTGCATGGAGATGATTTAGGAATAAGGAGAGATTAACTTCTGCAGGGTGTGCTGCAGGCAGTGGGGGGCCTTTGGGCAGGAGGGTGGTCCCCCTGGAATCTCTCTTCATCCTTCTCTCTCTCTCCTAGGCTGATTCTTCCTACCAGAATCTGATGCCAACAGTTCTGACCATCCAAGCAGGAGGTGCACAGATTCTCATGTCAGTCCAGGATCTTGCCTTCAGAGTGGATGTTCCTGGTACCCCCCCAGTGTATGTATGTGGTGTGTGTGTGTGTGGTGCGGTGTGTGTGTGTGTGTGTGTGTATACAGGTTTCTCAGCTGGGGGCTCTGCTGTGCCTGGACTTGCATCCAGGGGTGACGTTCCTATCACAATCACATTCCAGACAATAAATCTGTTTCCTTAGCATAGGTGTGACTTCTTTCTTAACTCATGGTATTTGTTCCTGGTTATCTCAGCCACAGTGGGTTGTCATTCTAAACCCAACACGCCTTAACCTCCTCAGTCAGGAGGGAAATGGGAACCCCCTGACTCCTCCCTGGACTCCCATCCTGGTCTCAGCACCACATGACAGCTTTTACTCCTATCAGTTTGTGCAAAAAATGTGAGAAGAAAAGGCAGAGCTTCTTTCTGATAATCTGTTTATGTAACAGTGAAGAAAACTCTTGTCTGTTTTTCACACTTTATAGTTTGCGAAAATGTTTATACCTAATATAGTTTGCCTTGAGAAATCTGTAACTCTCTTTCACCTTCAGCATAGCTGGGAAAATAAGAACTCAGGAGTGAGGGATGCCATTCAGCTCAGTCATGTCAGTTCTTGAAAACTGTAATCAAGCTCTTGAGGTGTGAGCAGCTTGGATGCTGCTCACACAAGCTGGTTTTGGCCTGAGTGGACTGTCCTAGGAGACTATGACTACCCTGGATGAGTGGGGTGGGATGGGGCACATGCCTGGGTGGGAATTGTCTTACCTGGGCTTGTTTGCTTGCTTAGGTTCAGGGGTTTGCTTTGGAGGAAGGGGTAGCATCATGGTTAAGAGTAAAATGACCTCACTAGCAATGGTGAGGGAGTCTGTTCTTCTGTTGTACCAAAATCTAATCTAATCCAATTCTTCCCAGAGGCTGACACCTTCTCTGAACCATCACATTTCTTTTTATTTTTTAAAAAAATATTTATTTATTTATGCATACAAGAGTTGGGGTGTAGGCCAGAGGTGTGTGTATATTGGGGGTGGTGGTGAGAGGCTTCACCAGAGACAGATTGGAAAGCAAAACAGGCAGGCAGATTGACTGAAATACACTACCCAGGGGAGCAGCCAACCAGACAGGAGAGGTCTGCTGTGCCATGTGGGTCACCTCCCTGGCTAGGGGGGAGGGGGCGGAGGAAGGGGGGAGGGACTGGAATTCCTGCTGCAGTGACTGTGGAGAGCTTCACAGTGCTGACACTTGTGCCCCCTGAACCATCTCATTTCTAAGAACAGCACATTTATTGGTCAAGAGTGTTGGTTCTGGAGCCACTGCCATTACCCATGTAACAGTAATGATCAGACTGAGGGAATCCATGTGGGAGAAAGTGGTAAAGTTTGCACCGACAGGATTTGCTGATGAATTGGATCTGGAGTGTAAAATAAAGAAATCCAGAGAGTAAATGCAGTGCTTTTTTAAAAAAGATTTATTTATTTGTGCATACAGAACTGGGGTACAGGCCAGAGGCTCAGGGGCGGCGAGAGGCTTCACCAGAGACAGACAGAGTGGGGAGCAGAACAGGCAGATCCACGAAGTACACTGCTGAGGGGAGCAGTGGGCGGGTCAGGAGAGGTCAGCCACATGTGGATCTCCTCTGGGGCAGGCGGGGATCAAACTCATGCGCAAGTGGCTTTAGCTACTTAGTGCTGTGCTTTAACCTGCTGCACCACCAGGGAGGGCCTGCAATGCTTTTTAATCATCCCTCCATCTTCTACCCCTGCTCTTCTACAGTATTCCCCATATTCTACAGCATTTTCAGTATTGCTCTATTCTGTATACCACAGCTGTACTGGTCTTTTCAAAAGTCAAATAGGACTATCACTTGTTAGATCACCCATCAGTTCAAAACCCTTTAATGACTTTTCTTGTCAGAGTAAAAACTGAAGTATTTAGAATGATCTATAAGAATGCCTCAGATCTGCACTAGTCCATTATCTCTGGAACTTCATTTCCCATTTAAAAAAAAAAAAAGGTTTATTTATTTATGTACACAGAACTGGGTATAGGCCAGAGGTGCAGGGGTGATGAGAAGATTCACAGAGACAAAGAAGGGAGCAGAACAGGCAGATTGACAAAATACACTGCTGAGGGGAGCAGTGGGCGAGACAGGAGAGGTCTGCAGCACCATGTGGATCACCCCCTGGCTGGGGATTGAACTCAGGCTGTTAGCTTCGTAGCACTGCACTTTAACTCATTGCACTTTGACTCACCAGGGAGGACCCTCATTTCCTCTTTAAACGAAACAAAACAAAACATGGGCTCTGGAACCAGACTTCTGGGAGTTCAATTGTGACAGTCAAATTTCAGCTGTGTATCCTTGGGCAAGTTATTTGACCACTCTGTGCTTCCTTATCATTTTCTGTAAAAAGATGATGGTAACTGTGGTGTCCATCTTAATGGCTATTGTGAAACTTAAATAAATTAATATCTCTAGAAAGTTTAGAATAATGTTTAGTACAGACTAAAGGCACTCAATAGCAGTGAGAATTTTCCCAGGGAAACTTAGCATCACCTGCTTTCTCTTCTGGACCTACTCTGAATCAAACTTCATAGACTGTTTTCTCCCTTTGAGATGTCTTTCTGTTTCCACTTCTGTCTCTAGTGTTCCCTAGTTCTTCCCGATTTCTATTTTCCAATATATCTATAAATTGCTTACCAGTTAAAACTATTTTTTACTTTGCTGTGTGACCTTAAACTAATCCCATTCCCTCTGAGTCTCAAATTCCTCACTTGTGAAATGATGGGCTTAGGTCTAATGCCTCTTGTTATGCATCCTGTGGTGTCCCTCACAATGCTTGAGAAGCATTCGGGATCCTCTGTAGTGTAATGACTCTTTCCTAATTAAAGATATTACCCACTCTCTCTAGAAGAAATCCCATTTTAAAATAAACCTGTTTAGCCATTTTTCTTTGACAATATCACGTCTGTCTTCACTTTAGGGCATTTGCCCAGGTTTCTTCCTCTCACCAAATGCCTTTTTTATTCTGATAAGTTTTCTTTCACAGTAACCATTGCTGTCGATCCAACCTCCCCTCTTATATGAACATAGCCCTAATCCTCCAACCCTCACTGATCTGCACTGAACTCCTCTGAGACCTAGAACACGTTCCTCTCAACACATTTACCCTCTCAAGACTTTCCTCTCAAGAACAGGTTGCTTTGTTTCCTGTGCTTGTTTTTTCACCCAATGAATTCATAATTTCTTATAATTCACGGCTGATAAACAGGCGAATACTCCTACCAACACAGCATGGTAATTCTAGTTTTCTTTTAATGTCATCAACAAACACTTGACATTATTTGACTTTTAAATGCTGGCAATATGGGCGGGAAGTGGTATTTTGTTTTAATTAATTTGCTTTTTTCTCATTACTAGTGAAGCCAAGCATCTTTTCATAGGTTGTCTTCTGTAAGCTGCTGATTCATATCTTTTGTCTATTTTGAAAATGCAATTTTCTTGTAAATTTGTGGGGATTTCTTATATATTTTCTGAAGTCAGTATACTTATCAGTATAAGGATTGCAAATGCTTTCTTTCAGTTTGCTTCGCTCAGTTAAACTTGTATACAGTTCCTTCTCTGAATAGAATTACTTGATTTTGACAGCCGAAAACCCTTATGGCTTATGTTTTTTATGATTTTAAGAAATCATTTCCAACCCGAAGGAAGCAAAGTTGCAATTTTTTGCTGGAATATAAGGTGACATGGTGGTATTCCATTTTATCAATGAGAATATTTTAAAAGTTTTTGGACCAGTTTCAGTATATAAAGCTCTAAGATAATAGAAGTTACAGGGATAGTCACTCAATTTCCTTGGTTTGTCAGTTCCTGTGTCAGTATCTTTTCTTTATTTAAATTTATAATTATAAACCTATAAATTTAAAATTATATATCATATTACATAATATATTAATGTAGGCAGATTATTTTCACTTACATTCCATAAAATCATTTTATTCTAATTTTCATGTATTTATTAGTTGAGATCATTTTAGGATGATGTATCTTCTCTAAATAGTTTTGAGATAGTGGCTATAATTTGGAAAGGAAGAAACTCAAGGGCTTTTCATAAGATAATTCCTTCTTTTCTGATAAATAATTTTTTTTTGGTCTTATATTTACCTAGACATATATTATATCCCAATAAGTGTTCCTAATAGCATTATTTAAAAAAAAAATTTAGATCTTTATTGATCTGGAATTTTTTTTTACATCGTATGAGTGAGGATATAACTTTCTTTCCTCCAAAGAGTAAACTGATCTTCTTAATACTATTTACCAAATATTCCACTTATTCCCAGGGATTTAATACCAAGTTCCTCTACATGCTTGGATTTATCTTTGAATTTTTCAATTTCCTTGGTTTGCCAGTTCCTATGTCTGTATCACATTATTATGGCTTTTTAATATATTTTAGTGTCTGGTAGGGCTAGTTTCCATTTCTTTGTCCCCCAAAGTTCACATTGCTCATTTTTATTAAAATTGTGTGACATATTCATAGGCATTATTCTGTGTACATTTGAAAATCAGTACATCAAATTCTTCCAAAATCCTTTTATATTTTGGTTGGAAAAGTGTTTATATTAATGATCTGGGGAGAAATAGACTTTCTTCACATGTTAGGATGCTCCATTTATGAATATGGTATCTCTTTTCATTTCTTGAAGGCTTCCTTTTAGGTACTTTAATAGTTATCATAAAATTCTTTTTTTTTAACAGTTATTTATTCATACAGAACTGGGGTACAGGCCAGAGGCACAGGGGCAGGGAGAGGATTCACAAGAGACAGAGTGAGAAGCAGCAGGCAGATCAATAAAGTACACTGAGGGGAGCAGTGGGCAGGTCAGGAGAGGTCTGCGCACCATGTGGGTCACCTCCCTCCCTGGGGATCGAACTAGTACTGAAGCGGCTGCAATAAGCTTGCAGTGCTGCACTTTAACCCACTACTCCACCAGGGAGGGCCATTATCATAAAATTCTTATGTGAGAATTCATATTCTTTCATATGTGATAGTTTTTATTGTCACCATAAATTATCAGCAATTTTCAAATTGACTCTTAGGAGTCAACCTGAATCTAAGACTTAGGTGTAACTCTGGGCAACCACTAACTTCCCTTTACTTCCACTTTCTCTTGGCAGAAATAATAACATTCAAGAGTTGTAGTAACAAATCAGATAGGCTATCCCCTAGTAGTTGAAATAATTTAGCTGCAGAAAGGAAGCACGATGAAGGAATTACCCAAGGATCAGGATCTAGTGAGGAGAGGGAGGCCGAGGAGAGATGGGGATGGTGTGGAGGGTGAGGTTGGACAGACTGAAAGTAACATAATCCTGGCAGGTGTAATTTTTAAGGAAGTCACAAGTGTGGTCTCACGCTATTTGTGATTGACGAGTTGAACAATATTTTTGTGTTTATAAAATTGAGTTAAAACCATCTGTCCAGAAGAGGAACATAAGAACTTGCAGGGAAGTTAGGACATACACAGAAGAGATTTATTATTACGGCCAAACTCTCAAGAAAAACATGAGACCACGCTTCCTTTAAAGTGCAATGTTGGCAGCATTATTAGTTTCTTATTTAGCCAGGCCTTCATCCCATTGCCATGTTTGTAGAACTGTGTGCCTGGACTGTGACGCCAACTGCCTTCCTCTTCTCCAACATGAACTGAACCCACAAGGCTCACCTACAGGCCCTGTGAATGGAGAGGCCTCCTTGTCTACCACACCCACATGACTTCTCCTTTATGTCCTCTGGCTTTATTGCCTTTTTTTTTTTTTATAAACTCTTTATTCATGTTTACTCTCACTCCCCAACTGACCAATAAGTGAACGATGTGGGGGGCAGAGTCTATATTTTCTACCCAGATAGTTCCTGAGAGCTTTGTACATGAACACCAGGTTGGTCCACTACTGGCATGTGGTGATCAGTCTAGAGGAAGAGCAAAGGGCTAAGGAGAGGACTTACTCTTTGGGTACTTGCACAGTGGCAGGAAAAAGGGGACAGTAGGTAGGAAGCTGGCTAGGGATCCCTAACTTCTACCTAAATATTTATCAAATCACCAACAATGGACAGAGCAACTAAGATAATCTTTTGGGTTGACTGGAAGTAGAGGACAAGATATATTGGGAAAAAAATATGGTTAGGAGAAGAGGGAAAGGAAGACAGTGCTCTACTGAGCACAGGTCTCTAGGGTTTTCTGTGCAGCTTTAGTCTAAAAAGCACCTACTTTCTCAATAATAGAGAAGCGAAATCTTTCACATTTCCTACCGCTGCTTCACAAAAGGTTTCACATCTCCTTTGACTACCAGAGCAAAGACCTAAACACGAGAGGCCATTGTGTTCAGCCTCAGCATGTGGGTCTGTGGTTAGGGACATAGGATAAGCATTTGTGTGAGAACAGGCTTTGCAGATATTGAAAACACCACCCTCCCAAAACTGGTTCCTGTGAGATTAGAAAGGAGAGGAGGATGTAAAGGGGACGTGTGTGTATGTGTAAGAGAATTCAGTTTTGAGAGCATACAAAGAGAAAGTGGAAGCGATATTGGTTCTAAGACCAGTAGAAGGAACTCAGAACAGAAAGATAAGACTTGGATGGGCTGGGTGAGCTCTGGTTTCCTTTCTTAGTGGAGGCCACCACTAACTACCTTTATGGGGATCATCCTAGTCCCAGGATGCAGTGGATGTAGGCACACTCAGCTGTGAGTGTGTGTGTCTGTGTACCTTTGGGAGTTGTGTGTAAAAAGGCTTCAATATCCCTAGACTTTGGCTAGGACTCTTTGGACCTGTTTTTGAAACTATAAAGTGAGGACAATGAGCAGACCTTTAAGATTAAACGAGGTAGCATGTAAAGGGCTTACTTAGCATGCTACCTGTTGCAAAGCCGCTCCACTTTGGGACTCCGCATCCCATCTTCTACTCTCTCCAACACACTGATGGTTCACTGGCAAAGTTAGCATATAGAACAATCTTACGACTGAGGCTCAGTGGAGGTATGGGGTGGCCTTGAAACATGGTGGTGCTCTGGGCCATCTCACTTAGTTGCAATAGCAAAGCTTTCATTTCTGATCTCATCCTTTATTCACTTTTGGTTCTTTCTTTATTGCCTTTACATTTTTTTTTCATAAATAATCAGATTCTTTTGAGGTCAGGTACTTTGGGGGAGGATAGATCAGTGTGGTATCAAGGGATTCCCTCTTAATCCTCTTTCATTATTAAATCAAATCCAACAACTTTCCAAAACTCAGGTGGGTGAGGATAGGCATCTTTGAAGGCTGCTGAGTAGGAAAAAAAAAAAATAAGGTTTTAAATCTACAATGGAAAAGAAAATCTATTAATTGTATAGTTCTCAACGGGTAGAAGAATGTATTGCCATTTAAAATGTGTCTGGAGGGGGAAAAAGTAGGGAAACTTTCTCATTATTTTAGTGGCTTCATAATGCATGAACCTACTCCAGACAGATTGGACCAGAGAGGGAAACACACAGGGGAGTTATGATTTGGGGGGAGACAGATGTGCTTTGGACATTGGCTGGTCATCAGCTCTTCATCAAGAGGATTAGGTGGTCTGCCCTCATATGACTCAGAGTGTATGTAGGCGGATAGGATTTCCTGCGTCCAGAAATCAGCAAGGAGGAAATGAAGCTCCTCAGTCTGGAACAGTAGAAACAATTGGAGCCCAGGAAAAGATTTTCTAAGTCTGTGACCTGACTTCTGAAACAGGACTGCATCCCTTAAGCTGAAGTCTTGGTTTGAAGCTGTTTCTCCTTGCCTCTTTCCTCCTTAGCACCCCTTGGCTGCCTTCCCCAGAAGGACCTGTCTCCTGGGTGTCGGATCACAGCAAGGGTAATGTAATAGCTTCTAAGTAACCTCCCCTGAAGGAACAAGAGGAGGTGCCCTCCCTCTGTTTAGGGACATTGGAAAACAACAGTTAAACCAGAGACTGTCCCGGCTAATGCATTCTGCAAATATTGGGAAATTCTCTCCAGTGATCTAAGAAAATACACTTCCAGACTAGTTATTGCACAGAAAACGAATTAAAAATAGACTAGCAGGGCCCTCCCTGGTGGCGCAGCAGGTTAAAGCACAGCACTGAGAATCTAAAGCCGCTTCCGCATGAGTTCAATTCCCGCCTGCCCCGGAGGTGACCACATGGCGTGGCAGACCTCTCCTGACCGGCCCGCTGCTCCCCTCAGCAGTGTACTTCGTAGATCTGTCTGTTCTGCTCCCCACTCTGTCTCTGGTGAAGCCTCTCACCGCCCCTGAGCCTCTGGCCTATACCCTAGTTCTGTATGCACAAATAAATAAATCTTTAAAAAAAAAATAAAAGAAAAATAGACTAGCAGAGCTCCAAAGCTTAGGGCAAAATGAGGCTTACCTAGTAACTGATGACGCTAGGCTGAGGCACTCAGTGATTGGTTTCCATATTTGCTCCCGCCTACCTCACCAGTCTGACTATATCTGTTTGGGTCACTGACTTCAATGAGTATATGTGGAATAACTTTCCTGTCTAGGAGCTGAAAAACTATATATCACTCACTGAGTAGGGATCAAGGGACCTAGACAACTCCATATTCCACTTATTGCCTGGACTTCATCTAATCTACTCAAGCTTATGCCACAGGGGAGGACCCAAAGTCTCTGCAAGAGCTGGTTTAGGGGACTGAACCCCCCTATTTCCCAGAGCAGAGTATGACTGCACTCCTGCCGCTGCTGCTGGGCCTCAGCCTGGGCTGCACCCGAGCAGGTAAGAACATTCCTTCCTCTTGTTTCTGGGGAAGGGGGCTATGCTATTGATTGGATTCAGACACCCAGGCATGTTTATCTCCCCCTTCTAAACTCCCGTAACACTGTAGTAATGCTAATGATAATGAAGCTGTACAGCTATTTGTGCAAATATATTTCCTGCTGGGAGGAGGCAAGCGAAACAGGTGTCTTGTTTACTTCTGCATCCCAGCTACAAGCACAGTTGCTGGGCCCATAGCAACTGCTTCATAAATATGAAGAAAGTGAATATTTAATAATATATGGGGCTGATTCTTTCCTTCAACCCCTTTTCTCACTCAATAATTTGCCAGAGGAAAGTCTCATCCTGGATAAATCATCATATTTAAACAGGCTGATAGTCTTGAACTACTCCTGTCTCCATGCTTAGAGCCACATAAAAAGGAAATAGGAGCTCAATACTTTTCTGCTTGCAACATTACTTCCCTTGGTCCAAGTTCTTAGAGACTCCAGTGCAGGATCCTGGTCAGTACCTGCTGCCCAGGAAGGGAAACTGTGGTCTGCTCACTGGCTGGGCTTCTGGCCCAGGCTCTAACCCCCGCCCCTCTCTGTCTCCTGTAGGTGCCTTTGTCACCCACGTGGAAAGCACCTGTGTGCTGGATGATGATGGGACTCCCAGTGATTTCACATACTGTATTTCCTTCAACAAGGATTTGCTGACCTGCTGGGATCCAGATATGGGCCAAATGAGCCCTTGTGAATTTGGGACACTGTATTCATTGGCTGCTTCCATCGCAACTTACCTCAACAATGATGATAACTTTCTCCAGCGCTTGTCCAATGGGCTCAAGGACTGTGCCATACACACCCAGGATTTCTGGGAATCACTGACCCACAGGATAAGTAAGGAGAGCGGGGGCTTATTAGGGAGTATAGGTAGGAGAGGGAGCAAGCACATCCTCAACAGGCAGGGGATTTGAGATTTGGGCAGGAAAGAAGTACAAAATATGTGAAGCTGCATTGTGAAATGAGGTCACCCTGAGGGTGACCTTCTGGGGGAAACAAGAGGGCTGAGGGGGGTGAAGCAGGAATAAAATAGCCGGCTAGCTACTTAAGAAGGGGCTGCTTGGGACTGTGAGGAGCTGCTTGGGGCGGGGGGCAGTAAGCATTGTCCTCCTACCTAGGCATTCTAGGGTGCACCACCACGTTCTGCCAGGGCCCTGTCAGAATAACCAGAGTGGCTTTTCCTGAATTGCTCGTGTTTCTTTATCTCAGGTGCTGTTGTTCAAAGTCTGGGAAGGGCCCACGCATGGGAATATTTGGAAAAGCCCCCAGGAAGGTTTTGACTACCTTGCTCTCTTGCCTTTAACCCTTTGCACTGAACATGGGTTAAAGAAAACTTGAGATGGGTTAAAGAAAACTTGAAGAACCTCATAGAACAAAGCAGTGTGTCTTAAGATGTGATTTCAGAGCATTCTTTCTCACAATTGCTTGGGGAAGATGTTTGTTAAAATTAAGAAATGGAATAAGAATGTCTGGGGATGCAGGCTAGGGAATCTGCATTTTAACATGATTCTTTAGATTTTTTATTTAACATTTTGCTTTAACATTTTATTTAACATTCTGCATTTTTAACATGATTCCTTAGATTTTTATTTAACATTTTGCTTGAAAAGGATAAAGGTAGAAGCAATCAGGAGGGTTTCCTAGGAGTATAAACTAGTGAAAGATGATGACATGAACAATCTCATGAAGTTGGACTAAACTCATCCAAATTTAAGAGATGGTGTAAGTTAGGCTTATTTCCTTAAACTATCCAAGAAAAGAATCTTGGTTTAGCATATTAATTTGTCAGCCCAGATTTTTTTTTTAAAGATTTATTTATTCATACAGAACTGGGGTACAGGCCAGAGATGCAGAGGGTGAGAGGATTCACCAGAGACAGAGTGGGGAGCAGAATAGGCAGACTGACGAAGTACACTGCTGAGGGGAGCAGCGGGCGGGCAGGAGAGGTCTGCTGCATCATGTGGATCTCCTCCAGAGCAGGCGGGGATCGAACTCATGCTGAAGTGACTTAAGCTTCTTAGTACTGCGCTTTAACCCACTGCGCCACCAGGGAGGGCCCTGTCAACCCAGATTTGAGGAAAGAAATCTTTTTCTACCTTTGCAAATGCATCTTACAACTCTGGGCAACTGCCTAGCTTTTGTGCTGGAAACTGAATACAGTGACTTCTGAAACAGCTTTCAGTGCCATTCGGTCTTCTATTTATTGTGATCAAACATAATTTTGGAGCTAAGAAAGGAAGACACAGTAATGGAATGGGAGAAAAGAAAGAACGAAACTGGAATAAATTCTAACCTCTGGTTCTGATGAGTTGTAGGACGGAATAGGATGGGGTGGGGGGCAGGTGTGGAAAATCCATGAAAAATCGAAGTAGACAAGGGACGAGGCTGGAAAAGAGACCCCGGGTGGCCTTCCTCACACACATGCTCTCCTCTGTGCAGGGCCACCATCCGTGCAAATAGCCAAAACCACTCCTTTTAACACGAGAGAATCCGTGATGCTGGCCTGCTACGTGTGGGGCTTCTATCCATCTGATGTGACCATCATGTGGAGGAAGAATGGGGAACCTATCCTCCCTCACAGCAATGCCCCCAAGATCGCCCAGCCCAATGGAGACTGGACCTACCAGACCGTATCCTACTTAGCCACATCCCCCTCTTATGGGGACACCTACAGTTGTGTGGTGGAGCACGTTGGGAGTCCTGAGCCCATCCTTCAGTACTGGAGTAAGTGCATGGCTGGTGGGAGGGATTAGGGTTAAAACAGAGAGCTAGTGTATGGGCGGTTCAAACAGAATTCCAAAAGGCAGAGAGCAAGGCATGGATAGGTCCATGGAATGTGTGGAGATGAAGAGGCTGAGAACGAGTGTGAATCTGGAAGAACTTAGGGAGGGTTATGAGAAGACAGGGCAATGGGATACAGGCCTGAAGGAGTTAGTTACCGTAATTGCTATGGTGGTGTGGTTGATGCCAAGTGCTTGCCTGAAGGTGCAGGGGGAATGTCTGTCCTGAAAAGGGGATATGACTAGGTGACTGCATTTTCAGAACCAAAAATTACGATGCAGTGTTCTAAGATATTCAGAGTCTGACTATCATGTTGTCAGCACAGAAAAGGGAATTAGAGAAAGAAAGTTGCAGAAGAAAGGGGTCTTTCTCTTGCTGCGGGTGTGGTACTGAATTTCAGCTGCTTTATGAAGGAGGGAAAAGCCATGACTGGGGGCCAATTTGGTGTGTGTCCTTGGGGGCTGATAAACAAGGAACCATCACCATTGCTTGAGCCCCAGGACGGGAAGAAGTTAAAGGAAATAAGGGCAGTTCTTAGAAAAGAGTAAGAAATGAGGAAGAGGAAGGGTGTCTACAGAGAGTCAGGGAACTGAATCCCAGGCTGGCTGCTGAGACCAGGCCGCCCTAGTGGACTCACACTGTTGGGCACTTGAGGAGCAGAGGGCTCACCTGGCCTCTCTGGCAATGTCTCCTTCACACCGGGCACAGGAGTTTCCTTTGGTGGTGGAATGTTCATTTTAGCACTGAGAAAGGTTTCCCTGAGGGACACAGTTCAGAATAAGACTAGTTCTGGGAAGTGGGGGCTATGGAATGGCATGGAGGCAGGTTCTGGAAGGACACAGGGAAAGTCTGGAGGTGAACAGGTGGGGACACAGAAGTGCTCATGGGGTGGAATCACTGGGAATTCAAAAAGTTGGAAAGACATTTTTATAACAAACTACTCAGTCAGGACAAGTCAGGGAGCAAGCGCTACTCCGTCAGGGATGAGGAACCCTTCGCTACTTGGTGAGGTGCCTTTGGGGTGAAGGAAGAACAGAAGATACCTTGAGGGTCTCACCGTATGAGACAGCATCTGAAAGCTGGAGTGCTGCCTCTGAGGAGACGGCCTCTTGGTTACTCTAGAAGTCAAATTATCCACGGGATGGTTTTGCAGAAAGGCCGTTTCCTTGGGAGCAGATTGGTGCCTGCTAGACCCTTGAGGGTGCAATAGACACACTGACCCTGCCAGGAGAGGTGACATTTGCGTGCTTTGGGACGCAACACAGAGGTTGGTTCTAGGAAGTTTCTATTTTTGCAGCTTCTGGACTGTCGCTGATCCAGACAGTGAAGGTTTCTGTGTCTGCAGTGACCCTGGGCCTGGGCATCATCGTCTTCTCTTTTGGTTTTTTCAGCTGGCGGAGAAATCGCTTCTCCGGTGAGTAGGCCCCTGAGCCCGGGGGCTGTTCCCACTCTTATCTGTCACTTGCTGTTTGTGATTGATTATCCCATTGCTATCCCTTCTGCTGTGAGTTCTGCCAGATACTTTCATCCACAACACTGTCCTCTAATCAGGTATTTTCTTCTCCTAGGCTACACTTACATCCCTGGGTCCAGCTATTCAGGAGGTAATATCTCTGTCGGTTTCTCTGCCTGCTGGTCCTTTGGAGAGAGGGTCGGGATGGTGATGGTAGAGGCTCAGTACAGGGTTCAACGGAGGTGAAATGCGTGATTTAAGCTGCCATAGCTTTTGGGATTTGGAGCAGGAAAGAGGAGGGCCTTCAGCTTCCTCTTCAGCCCAGTGGAGTATCTATGGGAGGAAGCTGACGTTGGCTCTTCAACGCTAATCCTTGGGGATCTAGAATCTTCAGTATAACCATAGGAAGGGGTCTGACATGAGTGGCTAGAGGCAAATGATGAGGTCAAATTGCGTTGAAGCCTTATTATACCTTTTTATTTCTTCTGCAGGTCAGCACATTTCCTAGAGGCAGACTCTGAGAACTTTCACTCCCAGTGAGAAGATTCACTTTTAATGCTGTTGCTGTACGCACAACAGCCCTGAAACCTCAGAGGAATCCTGGAGCCTATGGCTTTTTCAGCCAAGTATTTGAGTTTTCCAGCTACCCCTGTGTAAACTTTAACGACTTAGGGGGGACTCATTCCTGGGAATATTCTGTAAAACTGTCCAAGGCCATTTACCTGAGTTGATTATAACCGCAGAGAGGTTAAAGACACTTCTGGGGATACCAGAACAACGAGTTGCTGGTGGTCATCTCTGAGGAATAAAGTCTGGTGGAAATATTGTTTTTCTGTGCTTTTTCCTGAGGCCCTGGAGGAATTAGGGGCAGTTAGGGACTGGTTTTGATTCTGTCCTACTTGAGTGGGGGTGTCAGTGCCTCCTCCCATTTTTCTATTTAGGCATGACAGAATTTGGGGCAGTGTTCTGATTTATAAATTCGTAAGAAAAAATGTTAACTGCTGGGATGGAGTCACAGGAGAGGAAGGATTAACAGTTCACTTAACCTATTAGGGATCTTTTTTTAAAAAAAGGTTTATTTATTTATGTATATAAGAACTGGGGTACAGGCCAGAGGTGTGGGGGTGAGAGGATTCACCAGAGGCAGAGTGGAGAGCAGAACAGGCAGACTGACTGAAATACACTGCTGAGGGGAGCAGCGGATGGCGGATGGGTCAGGAGAGGTCTGCTATGTGGGTCATCTCCCTGGTGGCTGTGGGCAGCATTTTAACCCTTGGGCCACCAGGGAGGGCCCTAACTAGAGAGCTTATGAAGACTAAATGAATTCACACTTCCAATGGCTCAGAGTGCCTTCCAGCTCATAAGAACCCACAGTAGTGACTTAACAACGATCACTTGGTCATGTTCCTGTGCCAGGATTGTCCAAGTGATTTACACTCATGGTTTCATTTGATCTCCATCAAAACCCTGATGCTGATCCTCAAATGGTCATGATTCAGAGCACAGAGGTTCAGGTCCAAGTTCAGGGCAATTATTTCTCCCATACCCTCCGCATGGAAGGGATCCGAGCTCCAGGGCTTATCATGTGTGACCTGGACACCAGAGTAGTGTCTATGATGGTCTGTGCTGCACCTCTTTCAGCTCCCCATAAAGAGTAGATTTTCTTCCTTCATACCATAGATGAAGAAGGGGAGGTTTCTCGAGGCTAAATAGCCGGTTCAAAGGCAAAGGACAATATCCCCATAGGATGTTTGCCCACCTGAGCAAGATGTAAGTAGATTATTACTCCGAGTGTCTCAGGACGCTCAGAGGAGCCCGGCGGCTGGCTAGATTTCCATGCTGCTCAGTGTTGTTTTCGGTGAAGAGCGACACCTGCTGGACGTAGAAAGCTGGGCTTGGAATTGTTTCTGAAATTGAAGTTTGACGCTGGGCTTTGAGCAAGGGAAAGAAACTAGGAATGTAGACAAGTCCTGGAGGGGCTCCGTCCACAGGGTTTGTGGGGCGCGAACAAGGGGTTATGGGTGCATGTTTGTGTCTAGGTTTCTAGGTAGGAACACACCAGCTGAGAACCTGACAAGCAGAGGGGCGGGGCCGGCAGTCGGGCTGTGAGCAACCGGCAATTTTCCGGGTGCAGCAGTCCCGGGGTTGTGGGGGGTGGGGAGCAAGGCGCTGTCCTGGGCCTGAACCCTCGTCTGTCCTGGGCCTGGAGACACGTAGGGCTAGCACTGTCCACGCAGAATTGATGTCCAAAGTCTGCTTAGAGTGTGTTGAACTGATGATTAGATCTCCCACCACGGTTTCCCTAGAAGGATCCTGTGATGGGTGTCTTTTCTGGGAGGAGCTGACTGAAGCACTCAGTGTGCCCCAGAGTTCAGGAGGCTGTTCTCAGAGCTGGGCATCGGAGGGAGGGAGGGAGGAAGAGGAAAAGTGTGTGTGCCGGCTCATTGGTAAATGTAGGCACAGAAATGAATCTCTATGTAATTTATCCGTGCATGCTTCATTTTTAAAGTTTCTATGTAACAGTTAATTAACCTGTGTTTCACACAAATAATCTTCCACCTCTAGTTGACTCTGTGCTTTCTTTAATGACTTGCTGTTTGAAGTCTTGTCATATTTCATTTTCCCATTTGCTATTCCTGTTTTTGTTGACAAAACCAACGCCTTTTGAAATTCTAGTCTAGTCTTGGGTGGGGCTCTGGCCTGGTTGTGAAGGAGAAGCAGGGAGTCTGGTCAGAAGCTATTGGCCCCTGAGAGCCAGCTCTGTCTGCTCTGGCCTCCTAGATTTCTGCTTTGTAGGGAAGGCAGGCTCTTCTGGTTGGGGAGTAGGAGAAAGCACCCCGTGGGTCTCTTGACTCTGGATGTCAGAATCCAATAAGGAGAAATAGAGGGGTACCTGGCATCACACACAGAAATGAGAGTTGTTGTGAGGAAGGGGTGACAGGGGTCAGGTGGCTCAGCTCCAGGACTGTGTGAGGAGAGTGGACTGCTAAACAAATGAAAAGTCAAAAATGTTGGGGGTGGGGTGGGGATGAGGGATGTGGGAGATGGTAAGGAGGGGAGAAAAGTGAAAAGGGGGGAAGTAGAGAGAGACAGTTTTGGGCTGTATCTAATCCAAGTGGCACAAGGAATGATTCTCTCCCTTCAATGTATTGTTTTGAGAGTTGACCTTGAAGCTGGAATTGACTTTAAAAGTCATTGAACCCAACTTTCCAGTCATAAAAAAAATACTTTGTATCTGTGTCCTGAGAATACCAACAACACAGGAAGTCTCTTCTATCCTTGGGACAGGTGCCAATACTTTAAGTCCCCAGTCTGAGGTCTTCTTTTCACCACTAGGGACCATGCGGATAAAAGGTAACGCAAACTGGTGGGTATCCTCTGTACTTTTTCTGTGGGAGAACTTGCTCCTGTGTTTCACGTCCTCCATTTCCTTCTCATGTACATTTTCATGCCTAGGGAAAGGACAAGGATTCGTATTTAATCTCAATATTTATTTTAGGAAAATTATTTTTATACTGTATCAAATAATTCTGTTTCCAAAGAAATATCAGGCAAGTCAGACAATGAATGAGGGTAGAGTTTAATCCCATCTCCACCTGGTTTTTTTTGGAGTACCCACCATTCCCCAAAACCCTCTAACTGCCTTGAAGCAGGCTCTGGGGGCTTCCTTGGTGCTTTGTGCCAGACTAGTCCCTTGGCATTGTAGAGAGTGGGGAGCCCCCAACCCCTGAAGGGCTCACCTGCTTTAAGACTCTTCCTCTCCCACTTTTCCATTGTAGTTTGCAAGAACCCCTGGCCAGACTGGTGAGAGGCTTTGAATGAAGACATAAATGGCTTTTATTGAAGACATAAATGGCTTTTATTGTATCAGGTCCTTAGCTCCTCAACAGAGCATTCAAGGCCAGCCTATTTACAAGGAAGTATTTACAGAGAAGCAGGTGGAGGATAGTACAGTGACTTTGAGCAGGCTGCAGCTAGTCTGTCACTACCCCAGGCCTGGAGAGGCCATGGACAGGAACCCAGGAGAGCTAGTCCACTCCAGTCACCCCCTCGCAGCAGTGCCATTCAGTCAGGGGACACGGCTGGCCCAAGGTGACCTTGCAGGGAGGGAGTCAAGGGATAGAAACCCTGACCAGACTCTCCTCCTCCCTCTGCTCCCAGGCAAGGCTGAAAGCCCGAGGAAGTCAGGGAGCTCTGAGTATGTGATGTACCAGTCAGCAGGTGGGCAGAGATCAAGTGGAAAAGCGAGGATTCAGAAGGATACATGAGGACAGTTGGCACATTCACACTATGAGGGGAAAAAGTCAGTGTGTGTCGGGAGCAGATAGAAAGAGGCACAGCGGGCTTCCTTTGACCTTGAACAGGGACAAGGCCTCTGTGGCAAGAGGAGAATAATCTGTAGTTTCCTGCAGAGGACCGGGGAAAACAGTCATCTCTAGTTTCTCTCCATTCCCCTTGGCCCTCCATCTGCCTCTTATTTTTATACCTTTTTGTGGATCTTTAGTTGTTGATTCATATTTTACAGTAAGCTTATTGAGTTCCTCAAAATTAAACTTGGCTTTTTATTGCAGTTAGGCTGAATTTATAGAGCAATCTGGGGTTATTGATTTCTTTTTCATATCAAGTCATTCTATGCAAAAAGAGAAGGCAGTCCCCTTTTTATTCAAATGTCTTGTTCTGTTCTTATTATGTTTTTCAAATTCACTTTTCATGATGATTTGTATATCGGTTATTCTTAGACATTGTATAACTTGCTATGATTGTGGTTGGGATCTTGGGGATATTATCATGTTATTTTCAAATCAGTTGTTACTAGCATAGGGAAATATAACCATTTTTAAAAACTGGGATAAGAACAGAACACAAAATATACGACCTTAGCCACCTGTAGGTGTATTTCTGCAGGGCTAAGTGCACTTACATGCACAACACACGTGTGACGAATCCCTGAAACCTTGTTATCTTGCAAAGATGAACCTCTGTACCTGTGAAACCACAGCTCACTCTTTTCTTTTCTCCCCTGCCCCTGGTAATCTCCACACTACTTTCTGTTTCTATGAAATTGACTACTTCAGATCACGTCATGTAAGAGGAGTCATACAGTATTTGTCTATGATGCTAATGTTCTTGAAGGTCATCCATGTTGTAGCATATGACAGGGTTTCCTTCCTTTTTGAGAATGGAATAATATTCCATTATATGCATGTAATAGTTTGCTTATCTAACCATCCATTTATGGGAATTTATGTGCATTCACTTCTTGGCTATTACAAATAGTGCTGATATGAACATGGGTATGCAAATGTTTGCTGGAGTCTGGGCTTTGCTTTTTCAACAGCAGTGATCCTAATGGTGATATTTCATTGTGGTTTTGATTTGCATTTTCTAATGACGATTGGTGTTGAATATCTTTTGTATATGTGTTGGTCATTTGTATAACAACTTTTGAGAACTATCTATTGAAGTCCTTTGCCCATTTAAAAAATATTTGTGTGTGTGGTTTTATTTGTTGTTGAGATGTAGGAGTTCTTTATCTATTCTGGATAATAGTTCCTTACCAAAATGTGTAGGTTGATCATGTATAGGATAAACTTTCTGGATTCTCTTACTGGGTTTAATTGTTTTTGATTCTCTCTTTTTGCAGGTAGAAAATAATATCAACAAACACTGAGATTTTTCTCACTTCCCTTCTGGTCCTTACAGTTCCTAATTGCTTTTCCTATTCTAGTATTGGCCAGCAACTCCGCGACAAGGACACCATTGCTAAAGGAAATAACCTAACTATTCTCTATTAAGTACAACATTCACTGC